TATCATTATCATTATTATTATTATTATTATTATTATTATTATTAGCCTGGGTAACACGAAACCTTCTGTATTTGTATGTCTAGTATTAGGTGGTTTCCAATTCCAATACCAATTTCAGTTGATAAAAAATGTACTTCTGGAGTACCTCGGGAACACTGCACCAGATTGGCTTTATGCATTTCAGTAATCTGAAACACTTTCTCCTGAAGTGTTCAATTTGTTTTCTCATGTCCGCTCACTGACCACCTTTACGAAAACAGTTTTATACATTCAAACTGTTTCAAACACAATCAGAGGTTAAGATTATTTGCGGCCATGGATAGTTTCACAAAAATAGAAACAAGCATTTGAAAAATATTAAATGTTGTGTTCCTCTCGGAAGTATTGTATTTGTTTAAGTTTGAAGTATTTAAAAGGAAATACTTCAGGAGTAGTTCCAAAACAAATGGAAAGCAGCAACATCGATAAACACTTTAAGCTTTTCCCCACAAAATATATAATACGCTTTGCGGACGCTCCCTTATTCCATGGCTAGAAATTGGCCTCAATGATTTGGGATCGAGGGGGTTTATCCCTCTTTATCCTGCCTCATCTCGTGTAGGCCTGGACAGCCTTCGTAGGTGGGCCCCATCCGTCGTCTACCCCGACCGCAAATGCGGCCGGTGTAGGCACTTTGTAGGACCTCTTTTTGTCCTGGCTGGGCCCCGCCGGCTAGGGCCCTTTCTTCTGGCGCTCTTCTTGCTTCGCCGGCTCGTCTGTGTAAACCCCGGGGGTGGTGTGGTATGGTTGGGTAGCGTAGTGCGGCTATGCAGCCTGGGATGCGCTTTGCTAAGGTGGCTTTGCGGACGAACGCATCGTTGTGAATACAGCCTAACTATTATTGATCTTCATTCTCAAATGTTGAATTCAGTGGCCACACCTATACACCATTTACAACTCCGTCATCCCACATCCCCCCAACACCAACATATACTTATACGCCGACGACCTGACAATCACATCCCAATCCGTAGATCCTAGATATTCCGTCTCCCTCCTCCAAAACTCCTTAGACCAACTTGAAACCTGGTGCAACAGGTGGAAAGTCAAAATTAATCCCAACAAAAGTTCGGCTATCCTTTTTACCAAACGAAAAATCCCACAAAACCTCGACAGACTGACACTATCCCAGGAACCCATTTCCTGGAATAGACAAACACGATACCTGGGCGTGACGATGGACCAGCGTCTCACGTGGAAACCGCACATCGTGGAGACGGTGGCGCGAGCGAAGACCACCAGGGCTAGGCTCTATCCCTTACTCAAAGGTGGAAACACCCTCAGTTTAAGGAATAAGCGAACGCTTATCAAGGTGGTACTTCAACCGCAGCTAATCCTACGTCTCCACGGCGTGGGGTTACGCGGCAAAAAGCCACCTAAAGTCATTACAGGCTGTGGAAAACATAGCCCTCCGCACGGCCACCGACGCGCCCTTGTACGTAAGAAACTCTGACATATTACGAGACTTACAATACACAAACGCTACACAGACAATAAGACAAAACGCGGAGAAACGGTAGCCGCTAGACATGACAATCCCCTCCTCATGCAAGCCGTTGACTATGTACCCGACGTGACCGACAAACACAAAAGACCAAGACACCAACTTTTTGACCCTGGGTGACCACCCCAACGACATCCCCCCCACCTGCCCGCTAACCTTTTCTGTTTCAGAGACCACCAGGATCAAGAAACGAAGACAACGACACACACACACACACATACACACTCCCCATACCCTCCTTACACCTCCCCTCCCGCGCTAGCCTAAGGGCCACCTTAGCAAAGCGCATAGCCGCACTACCCTACCCAACCATACCACACAAACATGACACCACCCCCGGGGTTTACACAGACGAGCCGGCGAAGCAAGAAGAGCGCCAGAAGAAAGGGCCCTAGCCGGCAGGGCCCAGCCAGGACAAAAGGAGGTCCTACAAAGCGCCTACACCAGCCGCATTTGCGGTCGGGGTAGACGACGGATGGGGCCCACCTACGAAGGCTGTCCAGGCCTACACGAGATGAGGCAGGATAAAGAGGGATAATCCCCCTCGATCCCAAATCATTGAGGCCAATTTCTAGCCATGGAATAATGGCGCGAATTCAGTGGCTTTCAGTTTGTGACGTTTGTGTAAATTGTTTTCTGTTCTATGATCTAATTGATTTGACAGGTTTGACAGCTATCCAAAAAAAACTATGTAACCTCATATTTTTGTAATATAGAGTTGTCCTGTAAATATTTAATTCTTGGAATGTTTCATTAATTTAAATATCAAAATTTTTTAATTGTATTGGCTACGATATTGTGGAAATGGAATGATATTAATAAGAACTATAATATATCTGTTTCTTATATCTCTTATTCTTTAGGTACTTTGTGTTATATTTGTTTTATTAAAAAATGGGTCTATTAACGGATCCAAGTTCTGGTCAAGGCAAGTTAGTCAAACTTCTCTTAAAACATTATTCTAAAATATGTGTACTATTGTGCTTGGGTGGTATACTATGGTTTTGCGCTTTGGCCTGTCCCCAAATGAACGCAAATACTTATTTTTCTGAAAATGCCCTTTTACCGGGGCTAGTGAAATCACAATTCTATGAAGAAAAAGCCGCATCACTTTTCCACGATGAATTAATCGATGAAATGAAAAAATATGAGGATTCCATACCATATCCTTGGTTACTTGCTAAATTTAAACAATTAGGATTAGATACATACACACACAACTTTACTTTACATTCACCACTTAGCAACAAAGAGGTGAGTTGAATATATATTGATATATTGTTTTTTATTTAATTTTTCATGAACTTACCTTAGAGATACAGTGGACAAAATGTTTATGGTATCCTAAGAGCTGCTAGAGCGTCGAGTACAGAAGCTCTTGTACTTAGTGTACCATATAGACCCCCATCCAGTGTTCATGCTTCAACTAGTGCATCTGTAGCTGTAATGCTAGCATTTGCCAAGTTTGCCAATAGTAAGTATTTAAATGTTAATACTTTTTTAAATTGTTTCCACATCTGTAGTAACTAGTAAGTCGTAAGTAATTTCATCTCATAATTGTAGAGGAAAAATATTGGGCAAAAGATTTGATATTTTTGATAACTGAACATGAGCAACTTGGCATACAGGCGTGGCTAGAAGCATATCATGGTGTGACATGCGGAAATGAAAATGTTTTGGATTCAGGTGACCTTAAAGGTAGAGGTGGTGCTATTCAGGCAGCTGTAAATCTTGAAATTCATAGCACGAGAATTGGTTAGTAATTCCAACAACCTTCACGGTGATCTACAGATTTCTGAAGAAGTTCAGATAATAAATTTGTATTTTTTAGGTCAGATGGATATAAAAATTGAGGGATTAAATGGGCAACTGCCTAATTTAGATTTGTTTAATTTGGCATCCAAAATGTGTACTAAAGAAGGCCTTTATCATACGTTTAAAAATAAAGGACCAGAATATCACAGAGATCCAATAAAGGAATGGAAGTATTACTTTAGAAACCTTTTAGCGATGGTAGCGACACAGGCTACAGGGGTATTTATAATTTTATTTAACATAAAATTCTTTGTTCTATCCTTATATGTTTGTTAGATACCAAACGGTAACCACGGATTGTTTCACCGTTTTGGCATTCAAGCCTTAACAATGGAAGGTTTCGAACAGTCCAAAGCAAGAGGAAGCAGCAGAGTTGGATTTGTTAGTATTGGCAGAATTATAGAGGGCACTTTTCGAAGCTTAAATAATTTACTTGAACGATTCCATCAAAGTTTCTTCTTTTACCTGCTCTCATCTCCAGATAGATATATTTCCATAGGTAGTAACTTTTAAACTTTTATCGATACGAATAAGTACACTTCACATACATAAAATATGGGCTCTAATTTCAAAGTCAAAACATTCTTATACTGTGTGTGCCATCTAAAATACGTACTTGAACCACATGTAGTCCTATATTTTCGAACAGTTTGTTTTTTATTTTTCGTCATTATTTGTTATTAATTGAGGTACAAAACAAGTTTATATAACCGATGGTTTCATGTCAACAATTCGTACTTAAAACCTGACATTAATCTTTTCTTGATCAATACCGTTTCAAACTTTTCTGAGCACATTTTCATTGTTGAAGTGAGGCAAATAGAGGTTGATGGTTTCTAAGTTGCTTACATTGCCTGATTTTATTGACTTACTGTTATGTCTAGATTTTGTAAGTTTCTACAGTATACTAGTAGTATGTTTTAATTTAACTCTGTATCTCAAGTAATAACAAGGACAATGATGAAAATCAGTTTAGTAAAAATGGGACTGCAATTTGATTCCAGTTGACATTTCTATTTTAGCAAGACCCACCCTACAGTTGTAAATTTTTGGAACTTAACTTATTCTTTCCTGCTGACAATATGCTGCAAGCTAAAATTTCAATAAAAATCCTTAGTAGCATCGTTATTGAAAAATAAACTTACACAACATAAAAAAAATATTATCAAAATCAAATTATTAATTTGTAAGAAACTCGGCATCAAAAATCTTGTGTTATACCTTTATTTTTTGCATTCTAGGACTTTATATGCCTGCAGTTTGTTTAATTGCTGGAGCTTTATTCATAAAATCCTGTGCAAAATGGTTCAAATTTCAAGGAAGTTTTGAGGATGAGTCAGGTACTTTTTTCAAGAATAAACACAATGCAGTTAAGAATTTTTTGAGATGAGATTTATGAACTTTTCTTTATTTTAGATAAGCCCAAAGCAACTGAAGGTCGAGAAACTGAATCCATCAAAGTTGACAAAGTCATAATTTTATTTTTACTTACTCATTTTCTGGGAGTTGTAGTAATGAATATTCCGCATTATACAACAAGAATTTCAAACCATTATGACTATAACGTACAAACTAGTATTTTTTACACACTTATTGGACTTTCTGTGATATTCTTGTTGTTACCATTTTTAGTCCCATTCCGTAGCTGTGAGAGGAGCATGAATGCATTCAATATACTTGCTATGTTAGAACTAGGTACAGCACTCATATGCATATCTATGAATAACTTCTCCTTGGGCATGTTCTGTGCAGTTGTGAGTGTGCCCTTAGCACTTTTTATGAACCCCACCTCGAATAGGTAGGTATACATAGTCGTAAAAATAAAAAATAAGGTATTTTAAACCAATTGCCAAAATGTGTTTTTTGCAATTTCACATAATTCTTCACAGTAATGGCCTTTATATTATCAAATTATTATTTTATTTCAGGTATTACTCTTTCCTTCAACGAATATTGTGGCTGGCGGTACATCCATTAACGGTGTTAGTAGTGGTAGTGTTAGTCAACACTTATTCCATGTTCCCGACAGAAAGCTTTAAAGAAATATTATCAAGAGGTTGGGACGCGTCTCAACAAGCTGTTATTTACAGCATAGTCGATTCCATGATTTATGGAAATTGGCTGTTTAGTGTTGTTACAAGTATCTTCATTCCAAATTGGTTATGTTTTTGGTGTATTTCTTGCAGTAATATTAAACCAAAGAATGTAGTGAGTCAGGACAAAAAATTAAATTAAAACGTTGATTTTTTAATTTTGGTTTTTCTTTGTCTCAAGAAAATTGTCTTTTATTACTACTTTTTTTTACCACGTGTTTTCCCTTAAAAATTCGTCGTACAAAATACAATTACAATTGTAAGAATTTATCGTACGCTGATAATTAGCCTTAATTTTATAATCTTTCCGATATCAATTGAAGAACCAAGAGCATGACAGTATGTACCACGTTAACATTGAAATATTTGAAAAACTTGTTCCCATATTTATTTAGCCATATCCATATACAGGTCTGGTCGAACTAAACGTAGAGTTCGTAGAAATGTATACGCCCAGTTGAAGAATATGAGTGCGGGCAAACGAAATGCAAATACAGTTGCATTGGTCCAATGGGCAATAAATCTTAGCCGCTGACAAGTGGTTGACAAATTGCCTAGCAGTGCAGTGCAGCAATGCGGAATTTGGTGTGATTCATTTAATTTTAATTTATTATAGACACCTTCTATTAATCATTGATATTACAATTGCGAAAGGGAGAAATAAGGATATTTTGTTTACTAATATTATTACAACATGGCATTTTGGAGACCTTTTGAAACGAAACAAAATGAAATTTACCATCAATATAATAAAATTGTTTGAGGACATAAATAATTAAAATATGTGTTGGCCAAATAAACATACAATAGTAATTTTCTGCACATTAGATACAAATTATTATAATTTTTTAGATTTATCAGAAAACTTTTTTAGAGACGCCTATGAAACTCATTAAATTTTATTGCCAGGCGGTTTTTTACATGTTCAACTGACTTTGGAAAGTCTATACCACCTGCATCATCCTTTTTTAGATAGATTAAAAAATGTTCTTTATCAGTTTCCATTTTGAAATCATTATTTCCTAAATTTTTTATAGACATCTTCCTCGTAAATATTTAAAAAGTATGAATATCAAAAAAAATTATACAGAGGTTACCATAATATTTGCATCAAATAAGGAATATTTTTATTTATGTTAGAAAAAACTTTTCTTATAATTTGTTCTTGTTTGAATAACAAGGGCAATTTAGATATACTAGAAGATTTTTGGTTTACAAGAAAACTGCATTATTTCAAAATCAGCTAAAATTAAAAAAAAAATGAGAAATGGAATTTTTAGCTCAATTCTCATAGCGTTTATTAATACTATACAAAATCAGCAGATATTATTTCTTTGAACAAATTATGGGAATATTATTGTTGGAATTCATATTTAGTCCATTAACAGTATTGAAAGATATACTTAAATTAAAGTATATGTAAGGAGCTCAAGTTAAAAATAAACACATCAGTGCTAACAAATTAAAAAAAGTAAATAAAAATTTGACACTTTTTTTATGATGTCTATTTAGATATGAAAATTTAAATTTGGCCAATAAATCCCCATTTTTTAAAATTAAAATATTAATTTTGACCGACTAAAATAACGTCATTTGTAAATTAAAAATCGACCAGGATATTTAGAATATGCCTATAACATTCAAGTAAACAAAACAATTCTGGTACTTTATAAGATCCACGTTATATGTATCATAAACTAATTTTTAAACTTCCAGTAAAATTAATGAACATACCTACCTAAAGTTCCACAGCGCCATCTATTGAAATTAATCGATAACATTCGAGAGATAGAATTGGTTTTATGAGAGCGTGAACTCTGTATAATTCTCTGATTTATGGTGAGGTTCTTATCTCGGATGAATAAGTATTTTAATGCATTATTAGTTTTTATCAAGAAACTGCTAAAAAAGAATATAAAGTCACTTATGTTTAGGTAACTTTATTGTGGCAGATATATCATTACCAAAAAACCTACAAAATCCGGTACCTACAATGATAAGCCTAAAAACGAGACTTAAAAGAGAGTTTTTGCAGGGTATATATATTCTTTTTAATTGCGCCTGAAAATAAAGCACATAAAAGCTTTGTTGATTAAAATTATTACACAAGTTTTTACATTTTTAATCTCTACCTCTACATGAGTATGGAGTAGGGTACAAATTACCGAGGGGACATGAAAATTATAAAAAAAATATATTCCTTTTACACACGGACAAATTTGAAATAAAAGTTTTTCTTTGTTTATAATGATCAATTGAAATAGTTAATTAATGTAAAAATCTTTAAAGAAAATTATTAAAACCAAAATTACATATTATGATGGCAGTTGTTTATTGTTTATTTTCTACACCGATCACATTGTCACCTAGAAGAGTCAAATATCTGTTGCACGTTGCGCATTCCTAAAATTTTTGTTTTAAATTTTAATGTGGTTAGTTTTATAAAAATAAAAGGATATATGCTTAAAATTGTATATCAGCACAGTCACAAAATATCTCAGTATCTCTTAGTTTTTAAGGTAATACTCGTATAGTTTTATAATAATACAAGTTTAAATTTTTGTTTTTTGCCATTGGAGCATAAATCAAAACGCTTATTGATTCAATTATAAACAAATGCGGAATTAATTCGAAAAACAAGAAGATTTGTTGATTAGTAAAGCAAAAAATGATCAAAAGTAATGACCATAGACAGTGCTCTGTGGTAATGACAAACTTTTTACTCACCAAAAAAGAAATCAACGTTGTTTATTTTAGGTTGACACTTATTTTACTAAATGAAGTTACAACAAACGTCAACATGTCCTCTGTTATTGTCAAGGCATAATCGTTCACAGTTGAAAATTTTTGTTCAAAATTACAACGATTTCTGGATTGTTTCGATTAATCTGGAGGTATTCTTTATTCATGTTCGTAATTGCTCAAGCTATTAACTGGAGTGGAATACATCAGCTGTTTCAAACAATCCCAGAAATAAAATTCACATGGATTGAAATTTGGCGATCGCGCGGGCCATGCAACTGGATTATTTAGATCAATCCACTATTCAGGAAAGCGCCGACCTAACCTTGTCGAGTAATTCAGGCGCCAAGAAGGACCATCAATTTCTAGCGTTCTCACGTTACTTAAAAAGTATAAACACAATTTGATCATCTAACAGATCTGGTATAACGTAAGGTCCAATGAGCCAATCGGCCCAAGATTTATCGAAAATCTTCACAATACCCAGTTATAAAAATGATGACGAGTATTTACACTTGTGGCTGTAAAAACTGTTTGTACATGGTTCTGGTAGGTATGGCTGCTTTTTAAAATACTCCAAACTGAACATTTTGAGACATTGCACTCTAAATTCAGAACATGAGAGCTAATTCCAGTATTATTTGCAACATTCTCCATGAGTGTAACATTATAATTACCTAGATGGTTGTACGCAAATTCCAGGAGTCTAGAAGAGTTCCCATGGCTTTACCGTAAGTTACATATCAACTTATTCACTGTTTGTAAAACACGACATGATGCACAATCACAACTGTTAATACATCCTTCTACTTCCTCTTCCTACGCTTGATACGCAGTTTAATAACACATTTTAAAATAGTGAATACTTGATTAGTGAATAACTTGAATCAATGCATAAAAAGTATTTTACTCAGATATTTCTTCAATCTACAGGGTGTTAAAAAAAGAGTGTAAAATATTTAAGGAGGTAATAGTATGAACCAAAATAAGCAGAAAAATCACAATAAACATGGGTCCGCAAAGTAACGGTTGCGGAGATATGGGATGTTTTATGTTTTCTAGCTCCTTTTTTTATTTTGCAAAAACGTTGTGTATTTTCTTATAATAGTTGGTTGATGTTTAGTGAAATAAACAGTACGTATTTGATAGTTGTTCTCAGTGCACAAGTTTTCTTTCGCTATGGCTGGTTACTCTAACGCAGAATTAACAGACATGCATTTCATGTATGATCGTGCTAATGGGAACGCCACCGAAGCGCGACGTCTTTATGTTGACGCTTATCCAAATCGCCAGATTCCTTCACAACGCATGTTTGGAAGAATTCACCAAAGATTGCGTGATACCGGTTCCTTGAGCAAACAGTGCCATTTATCCGGAAGACCAAGGTCGATATCCACTCCTAGAGCAGAAGAAGAAATTCTAGCACTGGTAGAGCAGAATCCAGGTACGAGTGTGCGGATAATATCAGCCGAGGTAGGAATTAGTGGTCCTCTTGCTTGGAGAATCCTTCACGAGCAACTGCTTTATCCATATCATGTGCAACGAGTACAGGCCTTAAATCCAATAAATGATCATCAAGCACGTTTGGTTTTTTGCCGCTGGTTTCTACGTCATGATGCTGAAGACCCTCGTTTTCTTGCAAACATTCTTTTTACTGATGAGGCCGGGTTCACAAGAAATGGAGTGTTTAATTTTCACAATACGCATATTTGGGCCGACGAAAATCCTCATGCTCTAATAGAATCTGGACATCAGACAGGTTTTTCATTAAACATTTGGATGGGTATTGTAGGTGACAGGTTTCTAGGTCCTGTTGTTTTACCAAACCGATTAACAGGCGCTGCTTACCTCAACTTTCTGCAGAACACACTGTACGAGTTTTTGGAAGACATTCCTTTGAATCAGAGGCAACAAATGTGGTTCCAGCATGATGGTGCTCCAGCTCATTTTTCCATGGCCGTTAGAGAGCATTTACACCAAACTTTTCCACATACATGGGTAGGAAGGGCCGGACCTGTTTTATGGCCTCCAAGATCGCCTGATCTGAACCCTCTAGATTTCTTTGTTTGGGGATATTTGAAGACAATAGTGTATGGTACTCCTGTAAATAGCCTGGAAGAGCTGCAGCTACGGATTAATCAAAAGTGTCAAGAAATCCAAACCAAGGAGGGTGTTTTCGAAAGAGTTCGAATATCGTTGAGACGAAGATGTCGTGCCTGCTTGGAAATGGACGGAGGGCACTTTGAACATCTTCTGTAACTTTGTTTTTTGTTTGTTAAAAGCTTCCTTTGTCGGTTTATTCCTAATAAAATAAAATGTTTCAAAAACGAATAGTGGTCCATATCTCCGCAACCGTTACTTTGCGGACCCATGTTTCTGCTTATTTTGGTTCATACTATTACCTCCTGAAATATTT